AGAAAATAATAATGATTAAACAAACGCCTTACCCGTTCCAGAGTTACTGGTAGACAAAATAATAAAGAACTAAGCTATTAATGAACTCATCTGGAGGTTTATTTTGTTTTTTTTTCTTATGCTTTATATCAAGTTTTATTTTATTTTCACTCAGTTTTCCAAATGATATTTCTATCACCACTACCACAATCCCTATGCCATCTCCGCCTATTTTAACTAATATAAGCATTTAATTCCGTACTATCAATCACTTCACTAGGAGTTGATATAAATATTACTTTATCTTCACTGAGAAACTTTCTTGAATAGAGGAATGTTCAAACTTGAATGTACTGTACGGCCAATTTCATCAACTTTATTAATGGAAAAATATGCAGTAGTTCTGTCGTGGCCTTTATAACAATACTTACAACCGTTTTATGGTTGAGTTAACATTGTCGTTCATGATTCTATTTTAGAGGGGGATACCAATGCTGACATTGACAGAAATATCGTTTTGCGTTCCTCTTTTACCAGTATACCAAGGCATAGGCGTAACATCTTTATCAGGACGTAATGTGTTTTGTACACTGCTTTGTTAATCCGTCATTACTTTCATCTACAACCCTAAATGATATAATATTATACATTAATTATTTCCTATCCAGACGACCGCCCAGATTTATTTTGTCGCTTTTTTCATCAAAAATTAAAATGTCAACAAGGATTTGCTCTTAATTTTATCAAATACATAATAATTAATCCTCATTATTTTTTAAAAAAATTATCCTAAATTTATATGTCAATAAAAAAAAATATATTAAAAAATATATAAATAATTTGCATATAAGTTTCATTAGTGTTTAATGGCATTTTTGTAATTTAAATAGATAGCATTTTTTTTTACTTAACATAAAAATATATATATCCCTTATCAAATTCTTTGACAAATAATTTCGGAAATGCAAGACATACATTAAATTTTATCTAAAATACAACAATAACCCTATATAATAAACAACAATTTATTTTTTAGATATAATTTTAATTGATCATATTACAAAAAATTATAAGAGTAGGTTATTTTTATTTTATTTGTCATGATTCTCTAATAAGTGGTGCCTGGCCTACCAGTTTCCCTTAATATGGAATTTACATGTTTTTTTCCATATTAGACTAATTGGTAAATCAGGTATTTCCCGTTCATGTAATGATATTAAAAATTTAACTATCTCCGAGGCGGGAAAAAATTTTCAAAATTATGGTAGGACTGGGCTGGAACCTCAAAATTAATATTAGCTTGCACCTGACTTGGGAATATTTTTTACAAATTATTAAGGATTCAGCTGGGAAAATTATAAGATCTTGGATGCTTCCTAATATTGTGAGCTTGAACCTGGCATGACATCTATCGTAAAAAAATGAATAAAAATCTCATTCCCCGTCATTTTTGACGGGCTTTCTACTAGTAATCAATAATTTTAAAAGAATGTGAAGTTATTATAAAATTCATTATTGCCTTCTAAGTATAAAAGTATTTTTCTAATTTTATTTAAAAAAAAATATATTAATCTTGAAATTAATTAATTTACTTTATCATTTTTGAAATAAAACATTGCTTAAATGATAGATCATAATTTTAATTAAGAAGTTTGTTTAAATAAATCCCTCGATTCGCAATTAATCGATATTATTTAATTATATGAATATAAAAGGGGCTTTAAACCCCTCCCATTTATCGATAATTCTCACTTAGTTTCTGCAATTATCCCATAGTATATAAATAAATTCATGCGATATTTTCAAAATGGCTCATGTATTTAGCCAATTGGCATTTAAAAGGTAATATCAAATTGTAAACACATGGTGCGAATTCGAGAAGGAACAACTGGTTTGGATTAGTAATTAAAGATGTTAGGTATTATTAACAATCGAATACAGTGGTAATGCCGTCGGATAGAGAAATAAGATCCACTGTAAGCATGCTGACTAAAAAATAATTAAAAATATTTCCAGATAGATTCTATGATATCTTATACGTTTGATTCAGGCATGCCTAAAAGGATAGAGTATCCCACCAAGAAGCTATCGTCCACGGTAAGGGGGCGAGGTATCTAGCATGTCATAGTTTCAGAATGCTGAGATTCATTTATTTATATATTTTTATATTTATGTTACTCTTATTATTGCTTCCATTTTGTTATAGGAAAGTAGAGTTTGTCAGGAAAGTCGCTAACTATGCTTTGGGGCGAAAGCACCCATTTTTTTTAAATTATAAGATATCATATCATATGAAAAAAGGTATATAATCTATAGTTATTTTATAAATTATTATATATTTTTTATTAAATAATCCTACATATTAAAATGAAATAAAACTTAATACATAGTTAACGTTAGGCTATATAAATTCAATAAATTCTGAGATTTGTACTTCAGTTAATTTAATGTTCGTATTTCAATTTCTCCCTTAAATTCTAAATAAAAACAAAATCAAATCACAAACTTGTTAATTTCTAATTTTTATGATAAATAGGGTTATTTTAGGGTTTTTTTATTCATTAAAAGTAGTAGATGTCTACGAATGGCAAAGTTTTCAGGCCAGGCCATGTTGGAATTTGGGATTTGCTCGGCCCAGCCTAGTTTCAATTTGACACTAAAATTGCCAAGCCCGGACCAGACCCGTAACCAATGGGGAGAAAGGAAGAAATCCCCTCCCCCATCGCAAATTTGACTGCTTTCATAAATATTATTTTAAGCTAATAAAAATTTTACCCCCCCCCCCCCCAATCAAAATTTTACAAATATTTGAATATCAATTTTCCAACATATTATAAATAAATTTTATTAAAATTTCCTTTAATGAATTCAATTGATCAATCACATTGCTGCTAGTTGCATCAATAAATTATTTTCCTATAGCCCAATACTTTGTAGAAATTTACAAAAACAAATTTAGATTTGGTTCAGGTTATTGATTTGGCGGAAAATATATATGAACAGGTAAATACAATAAGAATGAATTTAGATGAATATTTTCATAATATTTATCTAGACGTTGAAAATTTTATGATATAAAACTAACTGAACCTCGTCTAGCACCTAGGCAATTATTGAAATGTAAAATAAATATTGGCTCAACTGAAGAATATTAAAATATTTATTTTCATCCCATTCTTAGATACTTTTTTATCGCAAATAAAAGTACGGTTTTTAGACAAAAAACAAGTCTTTAGCAATCTACAAGTTTTATTACCCAAAGATCCTTCTTCGTTTTCTAATGCCACTATTGGTAAAATTAAATATTTAGCAAAATTTTATTCCTATGATATAGATACTGAAATAAATTTAATCAGTGAATTCGAATTGTGGAATAAATATTTGCTACGTTTAGCTATTTTACCTGAGCATGCGATTGATGCGCTTAATCAGTATAAAGAAACCTTGGCTCAATATCCTAATATTATGAAGTTGTTTTATATTCTTGCATGTTTATTATTACATACGAATGAAATGACTTTTTCCAACTTGAGAAGGTTGAAAACATTTTTATAGAAGAATGCCCCTTACTCTCAACCCTTCCCTTTAAAAAATATAACTTATCAACCCAAACAATCCTTTCCTAATAATTAAATAAATACCAACAATGACATTACCACTAAAACAACCACATTGTTTAATTTCATGTTATACCATATTTTATTTATGTTCACATCAAAATAATTTATAAATGTTTCATATTCATAAAAATAGTTCAAATCCCAATATTTTTTGTTCTTTCCCAGCTGGCATCTTCTGATCTCCCATTCTTTCTTTTTTCCCCAAGGAAAATTTTGTTTATGTCATAAAATGACTGACATTTAATATATTATATTAAATTTATTTTTTCTTTTTTCTAACTGATACAACAATATTTACGAAGTACTACTTCCGAATCTCGGCTAAATGGGTTAGCTCTGTTAAATATCCACAGAGATTTGGTTCCAACGACAAACTAAATTCTTGATGAATTGGCAACATTCCAACGAAAATTAAAAATCACATTATAATAATAGTATTTTATAAAATTTTTAGTATAATATTGTATTTGATAAGGAGTTAAAAAAAATTTGTTTTTTAAATTATTTCCTAGTCAATATTTTATACACACTACTATTAGTATTTTCAATAAAAAATTATTTTCTTATATTGTATGAGAATTTAAACTGAGGCTAGTTTTTAAAGCAATATAAAAAAATGACATTAAACTTTATTTCAACTTTACATTTAAAAAAACTACCTAACTTAAAATAATAAAAAATAGGCTTGTAATATTCATAAGCACGAATTAGTAAATAATAGTTAAAAATATAAATATAAATATTATTAACTTATGAATAATTTAATAGAATAGCTAAAACATACCCCCCCCACCCCCACCCCCACCCCCCCCCCCCCCCCCCTCATAAGAAAATCCTGGATACGCCACTGGCCCGGACTGATTTTTAATTTTTTTTAAATACAAAGTCTAAACATATGTTATTAAACACTAAAATAAAGAACCGATTGTAATATTGGGGGAATGGTTAAATTAAAAATAATATACATAGGCAATATTAAATTAATTAATATATCAAATCGATATAATAAAGTGTGAAATATAACTATATTAAAAAACTTAAGACAAGATATAAGTTATACTTTAATATATTCAAGGAAATATCAAATATAAGACATTGCAAACTAATTCATATGGCAAATACGATTAAAATAAATGTATTATTTTATAAACTTGAATACCAGACTAGGTAAAAATTGTGCCTTTGCCTTCCATTTATAGGTTATAATTAAAAATAATGTTATATATATTATACTCAATGATATTTTGAGACGAGTGTAGTTTCTTAATAAATTATTATTCTATATATTACTATATACTGGATAATTTAAATTATTTATATGTAAACAAATTTTACATTTTTAATTTTTTCTATTTGATTAAAATATATTTTATTTTTTCAATCGTAGATTTTACAAATAAACTGACATATTTATATCAAATAAAGTGGAATTTAGTTAGAATTATCTAAGATATTGACACTTAAGTAACTAAATATTTTAGGATATTAATCATATAGTTATAGATTTTTAGTGGCTACGATATGCAACATAAATTTAAACCTGATTTAAAAAAAGACAAATACCCTCACGATATTAAATGCATGTAAATTTAATATATCCTTAATTTAAATAATTGTATAATTTTAGTAAGTTGTAAATTATTCATTTATTCAACTATACATATGTTAAAACTAAATATTTTTATTCCTATTTTTAACAAAATAATGGGTTCAAGGTTGTAAAATTTACTTCATAACTTTTTATAAGGTACTGTGTTTCAGTACTAATTTATTAATTTGAATTGATATATCTATTTAAAACCATAATTGATAACTAATATGCTACTGATAGAAAAGATGTTATAACTGCTTATTGATTCCATTATTATAAAAAGAATATCTTTTTATAGATATATTTTATTTAAAATGTTCTTATAAAAACTTAAAATATTAAATTATTTTATTGTACTATTTTATTTTTATTTTGTTGTTACAGATTATCTCATTTAAAAAAGATTATAGTAAATTCTAAGAAATTTGAATCTATATTAAATTATTTAATTAAATGGGTTTAGTAAGTAATCTAACAATGGTTTAGTAATCATCAAAGTTTTTGATATTATTCAGAAATTGTAAAGCAAAATAATATCTTAAATTCACTCTGTAATTAGATTTAAAAGCAATATTTATTAAAAAGAATTTGGTATTGCAGAAATAATATGTAAGGCTTGGGCCAAGCATAATTTTTTGAAAAACTCATGTATCTAATTTTTTGAAAAATTTTGTTTAAATTCAATTATTTATATGATTCATTTTATAAAATTTATATAATTTTTACCTTTTTCATGGCTTATTAACAGAATTTTAAACTAGAACTGAACCCTCTCAAATTTAAAAACTAGTCATAATCAGAACCACCATATAAATATTTAAAAACCCCACAACCATTTTCAGCCTAGGCTTTAATCTCTGCATAGATATGGGAATGTTCATCTTTAATAATGCATGAAAATTTAGGAATTTTTATTCGTTTTTATATGAAAATTTAAGAAAATAATATTTAAAAAAATTTGATTCTTAGGTCAAAATTTTAAGCCTTGGTTACAATTTAACCAATTTTATTCCATTTTTAAACTGATTCTTATTATAGAAATATTTAACTAGCAAGGGCATTAATTTTAATCCCATCCCAAATTTTATTATTTAATGACCCAGGTTGGAATTATGTTTAATTTTACCTAAAATTTGTAAATTGATTTAGAGGGAAATAAAAAATATGAGGAATGTTTAATAATCCATTATATGATTTTCCAATGGATTAATTGATATATTATATTTTAAAAATTATTCTTAATTTATTAGTATGTCGGGCAAACCGTGGAACCTAAATAAACCTTTATAATTTTTTTGAACCGTAACATTTATAAGGAATTTTGAAAGGAAAACTTCTAAATGTTATTAATACTTTCGAATCAGTTTATAACGGTTTCTTGATAAATTTATTTAAAATTGGCATAATTTAATATTTTAAAAAATTATACCAATTTATATGGGCTATGTTATTTTACTTTGTTATTTCTTAGGCCTCGTTTATAGTACGCACTGATCACTGCATTTTTTCAAAATTTAAACAAATGTAAAATTTATAATGACTGCACAATGCCATGAATTGAATTACATCACTATAAATTATAAATTTTACCTATTATTTGCTTGCTTTTGAAAATTGGCGATTCCCGCTTCCTTATGCATATAATAAAATAAAGAAATTCAACTTTATTTTTATTAATTCTTGCTTGTTATTTTTATTAGATTAGTGAGTGTCAACAAAATAATATATACGATGATTAATTTTCAAAATCCGAAACTTAAAAAACCGGAGCACATCGAAAAGAACTAAAAATGGTTTTGTAAATATAAATAACTGTTTACAATTTCTAACTAAGAGCCGGAATGGAACTGAATCATTATACCTTTTGATTCGACACCTTGTATTTCTTTCACATGGAAAAATTATGGATACACCTCTGAGTATCCTTTTCAAAAACAAGTGTCCTCTCATCTAATTACATGGAAAAAGGATATTCTATTTTGAAAAATATATACTACGGGATTAAAAAAATAGGCTATAATCATAATTAAACAAATTTATAAATCTTTTTATAAAAATGTTTTACACTTAAATTTAAAGGAATAAATTACCTTCATTAAAAAAACCTATTACACAATATAATTTCTCTCATGTTTGTATAGCTCAACAGAAAAGTCGTTACCCAATATTAATAAAATCAACAACCTCAGCAAAACGCCTCATGTTCCACAATCCTTTTCTCCTTCTCTATATTTCCACAAGGACAAACTCATTTCTCATTCTACAACTCTGACGCAAATGAATACACATAAATTCGACAAATCATCACGCTCTCATCCTTCATCTTCACCGAAGTTTTGTTTTGGTTCATTAGATTCCCCCTTTGATAATCAAATTGATATTGGTAACGATTGTGAAAGTCTTGAATATCACAATTACTTAGATAATAACACAAACGTGCAGGCCGGCAAAATGCATTACACAACTAACCGTCTTCTTCATAGTTTCGCGTATTTCCGAGGGGCACCTGTCGAGATGAAAATTTTGAACAGAGGCTCCATTTCGGGACTTTTTGTTTCGGTCGATCCAGCCTTCTCCAAAGTTATACTCGAATTCCCTTCCCACATGCAAGAAAGCATTGAGGTTTTATTTCTGCAAAATATTATTTTTTAAAATAATTAAGTAATAGGATAATTCCATACCAAATCCAACCTTTCGACTCGACCTTTTTAATTTTGATAAAATTTTGTATACTGATTGAACATCATTAGAAAGCATCGAATCCACAATTTCAGCCTCCAAGTACTAATAGTTTCTCAGATATCAATGGTCAAAGTCCTTATATGCTAAAAATAAAAATTTTATGTCATTCTGTAAGTCAAAAGCCTTTTATTAAATATTAAGGATTTTTATAAAATAATAATTTTGCAATTTTAATTTATGCTATAAATTTTGAACCTGAAAGCTCCAGGTTTTTTGCTTTCTGAATTTCTTTGAATTTAATATTTTATTTACTTATATTATATCTATATATTATTTAAACTTGGGACAGCGATGGGTTTTTTTAGCTATTACAATTTTTGAAAAATAAATATTTTTTTAAAAAATAGATAGAGCTCCTATATAATAAAGCATTTTTTGTTTAAATTATTATATTTTTTGAATTTTTTCCATTTTTAAACATAAATAGATTTTTCAGCAATTATAAAATTATTTAATTGCGTTTATTATCATTTTCTTGTAAAAAATTTTAATTTCCCAAAAATTATTTTTTAATTTTGCAAATATAATAGGAAAATTAAAATTTATGAAAGATATTACCTAATTCATCTTTTCATCAAATTAAGTTTTTTTGACGCCTTGATAATTTTGTTTTGCAAAAAATAATAAGTACGCTCAGTTGTCTTTGATGCTCACTTAAAAATTTATTTTTTGATATGAAAAGGAGATCTGATGTTGCGGGATATACAAGAGAATTTGCTCGTCCTTTAGTATGAAGAAAATTATTTTTATTTCATCTCTATCTACTTTTTGCACAGATTCTAACAACCAATCGTTTTCTTACATACAGGTCACATATCCTCTAATTTCATGAATTAACAGATCCTCAAATGGATTTACTATATTCTCTACAATGAACATCTGCGAATTGGAATATATTTTAGTATGAGTCTAGTTAACCAGATTGAAAATACTGCGTTGTTCCAGATTAAATAGATTTACTAAATTTCTTTTCTACCTCATACTCTGGTATGGTGGCATAAGAAAAATTTATACCTTTTATAGGTTCTTCAGCATATTTATAAAATTGAACAGGTATAATTATTTGATCTGAATAAGCTCTTTAAGCTCGTCTTGGCAACTAATTTTTTCTGGATTAATTATTATATCGAAAATATAGATTTTGATATTTTCGATCAATTTTTTGGGTCATTTTTTCAGTTGGTTTTATTTCTTAATAGGAGATATTTCAATTTCGTTTAAAGTAAAATTTATTGCATTGATGTGGATGCTGTAGTGATATTTCGCTGTTAGATTTATATTTCTTGATTTTTTTGTGAATAAACGCTTATGACATTGATTAGTGTTTTCCACCTCAATATTTGAAATTGAGTCATCCATTTCATAACTTTTGGCCGATACATTTTAAATTAAAGTGCTTATATTATTTAAAAATTATAAATAATTTATGAAAAAATATAATTAACATGTCGAAATATTTGTAAAATAAAAATATATTAATAGCAGGGCAGGTGCATGTAAACTGTTTTTACCTTTCAATAATTAATTATTATATTTTCATGCAGGAGATATTGGAATTGTAACTCTCTTTTGAAATTTAATCATTTATTATAAAAACAATTCATTTTTACAAGTTATCAATAGTAATAATAAACAAACTGGCGACTTAAATTTTTCATGATATTAATGCTAGAATATGTTTAAAAATGGAAATTTTTTTTAACAAAAATGCATTATTTTATATAGGAGCGCCCTATTTTTGAAGAAATATTTTCTAAATCGAAATAACTAACAAACTCATGCCGGTGCCCAGTTTAATTTTTTTGCAAATATATATAAGTGAGTAATAAAATATTAAAGTCAAAGAAATTGGGAAACCGAAACACATGGAGTTTTCAGGTTCATAATTTATAATATAAAACCGCAACATTATTATTGTATAAAAATCCTCAATATTTACTAAATGGCCTGTAATAGAGTTACAAAATGACATATAATTTTTATTTTTAGCATGATTATTTTTTAACTTATCTCAATTTTAAAAAATTGTATTTTTCGAAAAAGGGTCATTATGGCACTTCTGACTATTGATACCTCAGGAACTATTAGTACTAGGAAGCTAAAATTTTGATTTGAGGCTTTCTAAAAAAAACAAGTAAGAGTTAATTGTTACCAGCGATAATTTTACTTTTTGTTTATTAGCCTGCCTCAGACTTGGATCCCAATATCGACTCGCTATCAATTGGAGATGTAACTAAGACCAATTTTGAACACGATTCAGAAAGTTTCGAAGACCACTCCAGTAAAAAATTTAATTTTACTGGAGATGAACGTCTTGTGGCCTACGACATTCAGCAGGAGTTAGAATTTTTAACGGCGTATGACCTAAATTTGACGAGCCTTTCTTCCTATCCACGCAAATCTGTACAATCACACACACAAAAATATGGCAATAACCCCAAAACACCTTTTATGATTGATTCCCAAATATCAGAAAAAAATAGGCAAACCCTTTATAATAAAACATCGAACCAAAGTCTAAAGGCTGAAATTATTGATGATGTATATCTTTCTCCACTGCAAACAAGTGACCCTAGCTCAGATAACTCTGTTGGAACAAAAGAACTGCAACCTTGGCGAGATGATGACGAATACGAATTGGAAGGTGTTCTTGGGAAAGATGATTCATTGTTGACTGGAACACCGATAGATAACCAAGATAATGGAGGATGGCAGGTTATTTTTTTAATTGGAGTTTCAATGTAAATATTTATGACCCGTTATATCCTATCCATTTAAGTTGATTAATAATCATATTTTCTAAATATTAAAAGATTTTAGAAATTCATTACTTAGGAATTGATATCCGGAATAAATTATTAAGAATTAGTTCGTATAGCACCAACTATTTTATGAAAATAAAAAAAATTAATTTTTGGTAAAATATGGATATTTTGGAAAGGCTGATAGCAGCCATGGTGTTCTCATATTGTTTTTATTTATAAAAGGTGTCTAAATAAAAGGCTAATTTTTTTGAAAGTTATAACACGTGTAAACCCGGAAGTTAAAGACTCAATTTGTGATCAATTTTTTTTCTCTTTCAATAGACCTTTAGAGATTTTTTTACCTAAATAGGCCGGGCCTGAAAAATTTTTTTTAAAAAATACCCGGGCTGGGCCGGGCCTTATTTTTTTAAAAAAATTTATACAACATGAATTATTATATTCGGGTCATTCCATGTCAAATGAGCAAAGAAATCAAGATTTTCGGCCGACCCCTTTCAATTTTGATAAAAAGTTGTAGACTGGTTATATATGTTTCCATTAGATTATAAACAAAATTTTAGCGCATTAGCAACTATATTAACGGAGATAATCGGAGTTAAAGGTCCAAAAAACGCCTTTTTTTCCTTTTTACTGATGTTAAATAATTAGTTTTTAATTTAAAACTAATTATGATCAAATATTGAATCTAATATCAATAGCTAAGTTAATAATTGATAATTATGGCGAAAACATCAAAAATAATTTTTTTTAAAATATGGGTCATCTTATGGTCAGTTGAAAACTTGAAATTAATATTTCGAAATGTATATGATCTCCGATTTTTAATTTTTTTAAGAAATATTATCCGTTTACTATTTTTTTAATAATTTCTTTAACAATTAGCATGACTGGATATTTATTTAAAAAAATATTGCGATTTTTATACTTTAAAAAAATAGATGGCGCTATATATAATAGTTTTAATATGTTAAAATTCATTTTTTTTATTGATTAAAAATATTTTAATGTAAATATATCATAAAATTCGATTATATAACTTTGTAAACCTTATTCCCCTGAGATATTCGCAGGATAAAAAATTTTAATAATTTTTTTAATATTTCATTGTAAATTAAAATAATTAAAAAATCGGACTAGCATGCAAACAAAAAAGCAGGATTAAAGGGGTGCAAGAAAAATTATTAAGGGAAAAATCGAAAATCGCATTAATTACCAGGCCTACCCCCAACCCCCTATCCACCCCCTCCCCAGACTAAGTCATACCCATTAAGACCAAGAATGTTATGAAATTGTCATTATCTTACATTATTAAAATAACCAGAGATAAGGAAAATTTCAAAGATTTTGAAAAATTTTTTAAGCAATAAAAATAACAAAATTATAGTTCTGATGAAATAAGCCGACTCATGCCTGGAATAAAAGATTGTGTATCTGTTAAAGGCGAGAAAGAATTAGCAAAGATTTATATTAAATAATCTTAAAGAAATATTCAAGATGTTTAAGGAAGAATACCCAAGTATATCAATTGGATTCCCTAAATTGCCGAACTTAGACCAAAAAACTGAACTTTAGTTGGATGGCACACACACTGTTTGTGTCTGCGCCATTCATCAGAATGTGAAATTAATGACAAATGTAATAGCTGAAATTACAGCAGGAGAAGATTACTGTATAAATTCTTATAACAATCTTTTGGCGCAAATTATTTGTAATCCATCTCAGCCAAAATGTTATTTAACAAATTGTGATCAATGCCCTGGTATAGAATCTCTTATGGGGTCATTCCATGTCAAATCAATCACTTTTCGGCCGACCCCTTTCGATTTCGATAAAAATTCGTAGGCTGGTTATATATGTTCCCATTAGATTATAAACAAAATTTTAGCGCATTAGAAACTATATTAGCGGAGATATTCGCAGTTAAAGGTCCAAAAAACGTCTTTTTTTGCTTTTTACTGATGTTAAATAATTAGTTTTTAATTTAAAACTAAATATGATCAAATATTGAATCTAATATCAATAGCCAAGTTAATAATTGATGATTATGGCGAAAACATCAAAATTAATTTTTGATAAAATATGGGTCATCTTATGGTCAGTTGAAAACTTGAAATTAATATTTCGAAATGTATATGATCTCCGATTTTTAATTTTTTTAAGAATTATTATCCGTTTACTATTTTTTTAATAATTTATTCGACAATCAGTATGGCTGGGTATTTATTTAAAAAAATATTGGGATTTATATACTTTAGAAGAAATAGATGGCGCTATATATAATAGTTTTAATATGTTAAAATTTATTTTTTTATTGATTAAAAATATTTTAATGTATATATATCATACTAAATCGATTACAATGTGCATTATATATATTATTTGTAATTCAGATCATAAATTTTTAAAATCTTCACAAATTTTGCCTAATTAAGATAGTTTATAAATTAATTAAATCTTACTTCATCTAAAGGAATACAAAGCCTGGCTAGCTTGTGAGATTCTTCAGGAGATAATATATATGTTCGACTGGTGGGAGTAGAAGGATTGACCAGCGAGAGAATATGAGATTTAGGCAACACTAAATATTATCTTTCAAAGGAAATTTAAATGAGGCTGAAGCAAGGGTGCAAAAATCGGATTTTTACTTCTTCATTTGTATAACTTTTATCGATTATATATCCTAACCACCATTTATCATCATATACACATGTTATATATTCATTAATATTTTAAAATATAATTTTCTCATTTAAAAACGGAACTTGTTTTATATTATATTTTTTGGAATTAGAATATATTTTGGTTTTTAGTTTATTTTGATCAATGGGAATAATCCCGTGAATTTTTTGGGTACCATGTATGGGCAGTGCAGAATTAAATCTTTTACGAAGGGCTAATTCCTCTTCGATATATTCTTGATTGGATACATATTCAAATTGAATATTAATATTTTCTTTATCATAATTATATAATTCTAATGGTTAGGATTTGATTTTTATTTGGCCTTTGAAGACTAGCTCTGGCAACTAATCTTTTGACAGTTCCTCCGATACCGTCACATGCATTTTTGCCGTGAGCAGTGACAAAGAAATGCTATTCGGCAGGAATATTAAAATCGTATTTATGAAGGCATATGTTCAGAAAATTTTTGCGATTCTTGTATTGAGACGCGGCTTCATCCGAAAAATATATTATTTTTTATGGTTTAGAATGAAATTTGGCTGTTAAGAATTTAATGAATTTTTTTTGATAAAGGTGAACTGCACTAGTATTATGGCTTAATGATTCGGACAAAATAACAAAATTTATATTTTTTAATTCTTCTCCAGATTTATAATATGCTACAAATGGATGTATAGTGGCCTGCACATTGTTCCAATGAAATCCCTGAACTTCATCTTGTAAAATGAAGGAATAATTTTCAGAATAATCTAGAATTGTTAAAAATTCCTCATCTTTTAAATTTTCTTTGGAATTCTTCAAAAATAAACTTTGTTGTTTAGCTTTAAACGAGTGACGCAGTAAAATTTGAACTTTTTATAATAGATATTCGATGAAACCATCAATGGACTTTATAATAGTTTCAAGATTTGCTCTATCCACCGTGATCCATTGTTTAAACGTGACATATTCTATACGATTTCTCTAAAACAATTCGTATAATTGGCCCATAGGGTCATTCCATGTCAAATAAGCAAAAAAATCAAGATTTTCGGCCGACCCCTTTCAATTTTGATAAAAAGTTGTAGACTGGTTATATATGTTTCCATTAGATTATAAACAAAATTTTAGCGCATTAGCAACTATATTAACGGAGATAATCGGGGTTATAGGTCCAAAAAACGCCTTTTTTTCCTTTTTACTGATGTTAAATAATTAATTTTTAATTTAAAACTAATTATGATCAAATATTGAATCTAATATCAATAGCTAAGTTAATAATTGATAATTATGGCGAAAACATCAAAAATAATTTTTTTTAAATATGGGTCATCTTATGGTCAGTTGAAAATTTGAAATTAATATTTCGAAATGTATATGATCTCCGATTTTTAATTTTTTTAAGAAATATTATCCGTTTACTATTTTTTTAATAATTTCTTTAACAATTAGCATGGCTGGATATTTATTTAAAAAAATATTGCGATTTTTATACTTTAAAAAAAATATATGGCGCTATATATAATAGTTTTAATATGTTAAAATTCATTTTTTTTATTGATTATAAATATTTTAATGTATAATATATCATAAAATTCGATCATATAACTTTGTAAACCTTATTCCCCTGAGATATTCGCAGGATAAAAAATTTTAATAATTTTTTTAATATTTCAATGTAAATTAAAATAATTAAAAAATTGGACTAGCACACGAACAAAAAAGCAGGATTAAAGGGGTGCAGGAAAATTATTAAGGGGAAAATCGAAAATCACATTAATTACCAGGCCTACCCCCAACCCCCTATCCACCCCCTCCCCAGACTAAGTCATACCCGTTAAGACCAAGAATGTTATGAAATTGTCATTATCTTACATTATTAAAATAACCAGAGATAAAGATAATTTTAAAGATTTTGAAAATTTTTTTAAGCAATAAAAATAACAAAATTATAGTTCTGATGAAATAAGCCGACTCATGCCTGGAATAAAAGATTGTGTATCTGTTAAAGGCGAGAAAGAATCAGCAAAGATTAATATTAAATAATCTTAAAGAAATATTCAAGATGTTTAAGGAAGAATACCCAAGTATATCAATTGGATTCCCTAAATTTGCCGAACTTAGGTTTGTGTCTGCGCCATTCATCAGAATGTGAAATTAATGACAAATGTAATAGCTGAAATTACAGCAGGAGAAGATTACTGTATAAATTCTTATAACAATCTTTTGGCACAAATTATTTGTAATCCATCTCAGCCAAAATGTTATTTAACAAATTGTGATCAATGCCCTTGTATAGAATCTCTTATGGGCCAATTATACGAATTGTTTCAGAGAAATCGTTTAGAATATGTCACGTTTAAACAATGGATCACGGTGAATAGAGCAAATCTTGAAACTATTATAAAGTCCATTGATGGTTTCATCGAATATCTATTATAAAAAGTTCAAATTTTACTGCGTCACTCGTTTATAGCTAAACACAAAGTTTATTTTTGAAGAATTCCAAAGAAAATTTAAAAGATGAGGAATTTTTAACAATTCTAGATTATTCTGAAAATTATTCCCTTATTTTACAAGATGAAGTTCAGGGATTTCATTGGAACAATGTGCAGGCCACTATACATCCATTTGTAGCATATTATAAATCTGGAGAAGAATTAAAAAATATAAATTTTGTTATTTTGTCCGAATCATTAAGCCATAATACTAGTGCAGTCCACCTTTATCAAAAAAAATTCATTAAATTCTTAACAGCCAAATTTAATTCTAAACCAGAAAAAATAATATATTTTTCGGATGAAGCCGCGTCTCAATACAATATCGCAAAAATTTTCTGAACATATGCCTTCATAAATACGATTTTAATATTCCTGCCGAATGGCATTTCTTTGTCACTGCTCACGGCAAAAATGCATGTGAGGGTATCGGAGGAACTGTCAAAAGATTAATTGCCAGAGCTAGTCTTCAAAGGCCAAATAAAAATCAAATCCTAACCCCATTAGAATTATATAATTATGCTAAAGAAAATATTAATATTCAATTTGAATATGTATCCAATCAAGAATATATCGAAGAGGAATTAGCCCTTCGTAAAAGATTTAATTCTGCACTGCCCATACATGGGACCCAAAAAATTCACGGGATTATTCCCATTAATCAAAATAAACTAAAAACCAAAATATATTCTAATTCCAAAAAATATAATATAAAACAAGTTCCGTTTTTAAATGAGAAAATTATATATTAAAATATTAATGGATATATAACATGTGTATATGATGATAAATGGTGGTTAGGATATATAATCGATAAAATTTATACAAATGAAGAAGTAAAAATCCGATTTTTGCACCCTTGCTTCAGCCTCATTTAAATTTCCTTTGAAAGATAATATTTAGTGTTGCCTAAATCTCATATTCTCTCGCTGGTCAATCCTTCTACTCCCACCAGTCGAACATATATATTATCTCCTGAAGAATCTCACAAGCTAGCCAGGCTTTGTATTCCTTTAGATAAAGTAAGATTTAATTAATTTATAAACTATCTTAATTAGGTAAAATTTGTGAAGATTTTAAAAATTTATGATCTGAATTACAAATAATTATATATAATGCACATTGGAATCGATTTAGTATGATATATATACATTAAAATATTTTTAATCAATAAAAAAAATGAATTTTAACATATTAAAACTATTATATATAGCGCCATCTATTTTTTAAAAGTATAAAAATCGCAATATTTTTTTAAATAAATATCCAGCCATGCTAATTGTTGAAGAAATTATTAAAAAAATAGTAAACGGATAATATTTCTTAAAAAAATTAAAAATCGGAGATCATATACATTTCGAAATATTAATTTCAAGTTTTCAACTGACTATAAGATGACCCATATTTTATCAAAAATCAATTTTGATGTTTTAGCCATAATTATAAATTATTAACTTAGCTATTGATATTAGATTCAATATTTGATCATATTTAGTTTTAAATTAAAAACTAATTATTTAATATCAGTAAAAAGCAAAAAAAGACGTTTTTTGGACCTTTAACCCCGAATATCTCCGCTAATATAGTTTCTAATGCGCTAAAATTTTGTTTATAATCTAATGGGAACATATATAACCAGCCTACGAATTTTTATCGAAATCGAAAGGGGTCGGCCGAAAAGTGATTGATTTGACATGGAATGACCCAAAGGTCACAGTTCAGTTTGGTATTATCAGGACTGTATATAAGTATTTTCATAATAATATTTTCGGATAACACATTGTAAAATGAATGAAACTATGCATGACATTTATTTAAGATCAAAATTTAATGTGATAACTTAACCAGATTAAAAGATATAAGCCTTTAAAGTCGAAAGTCGTGATTTCATTAAATCTATTTTTTTTAAATTAAAAATTATATATTATTTTGTAGACCTTAATAAGATAAATATTTGAAAAAATTTGAAAGGGACTATTTTTAGTTTTGGATGTTGAGATTTACCTGTTAATCTTTTGTAACTGTCAGCTCCTAAAAATATCCCCTTCTCAAAATAATTTATTTTTAAAATTTTATTGGAAATAAGAAAACACTGGGAATTTTTTTGATATTATCTTAAGTAGAATTTTATGGGTTAGGAATTTTTCTGCCATTTATGAACTAAACCAAAATATACTTGAATGAGATTTTATGAAATGACGATATTTGATTTTAACTTAAAGGCATATATCATTTGATCTGGTTCAGCCCTCAAATGGATTTTATTTAAAAATTAACAACAAAATATGTACTGGACAAGTTGCATTTATATTAAGAAATGTCCAAAACACTGATTGATCTCAAAAATTACCCCATTATATTTATTAAATAATAAGAAATGTTTTGCGATATTTTTAGTATATTCTGGGAAATTTCTTGCCAAATCGATTAAGAATCGGCCGACCCCCTAATTTCTGTAATTATTTAAATAGGTAAAAAAAATGAGAAAACCACTTTATTTTAGCCCGATAATATCCCGAGACACAGGACCTTAAAGTTGTGAAAAAAAGCAGCTTTTGAATCTATAAAAATTTTTATGCTTATATCTCAAAAACAAATTGTAGTAAAAATATCATATTTAGCAGAGACCTGCAGAGGTACCATTTGTACAGCCCGGCCCAAATTAAAAAATTTTCGGCCAGGCCCGGATTTTTTTTCAAAAATTTTTTACGGCCCGACCCGGGTTTATAAATTTTAGGCCCGGCCCGGATATTTAAATAAAAAAAATTTGGGGGGCCAGGCCTGGATTTTTTAAAAAAAATTTTTTTTAGGCCTGGCTCGGAATTTTTAAAATTATATTCGACCTGGTATATACAAAAAATTGATTATTTCGTATTTTATCATATTTTTCGGCATGTATTATCATTTAATAAGCAAGTATATTAGCTAATACTGTTAAACGGCTTGTTTTGAGCCGATTTTTATCAAGGCTAACTCAATATTTTCGCCAGAAAAATATTGACTTAGCCTCTAAATTTCGATACTATATATGTAGACCTTTGCTCCTTCTATGAGCAAAATTTTCAGGCTTGCATAATATTTTTCTGGATAAAAAACTGAGTTAGCCGTTTTGAAAAATCGGCTCAAAACGAGCACTTTAACAACACTTTTTTTTAAAAATTCTAAACAGATATTTAGTATATTACAAATTGATACTATAAAAAATTTGTGTAAATATTATTTTGAGAATATACTATATATTTATAAAAAAAATAAAAATGATATTTTAATTAATAAAAAATATAACATATATTATATATTATATAATAATGTATTTAATCCTTTGCGTATTTATTTCATGGCAGGAAAACTATAATTTTATAATGTAATAGATACTATGAGTGTTAGCTAGTGTTAACTTTCACCAAACATTATATTAATAATAACTATATATAATCATTATAACCATATCTAATTGACGATTTCTAGATATTTGTATCTAAAATATTAAATCAAATTCCATCTTTTTTAGGTAGAAGAAATGTTTGCTACAAACGAACTCCGTTTTGGTCTACATTCAACTTACACGGAGGACTTACCGGATTATACTACTCGTTTGGAAGTTTTTGACACGCCCGAATACAAGGAAAGGGAAGCCAGAGCAACCCGATTAGCAGCCGAAATCGAGTCTAACTCGGCCTACCAAAAGCGAGTCGCGTTAGAGAATGACGACAATGAAAGGGAACTTGAAGATACTCTATCAAATTTCGTTACAAAATCACCAATATTGGGAGTCGAAAATAGTCTCAAGACACAAGTGGTGACTGGAGTCGGGGGCGCCTGGAAAAGAGCCAGGAAAGGAACGAGCGATAATATAACGGTATCTGCATTTAGTTCAAACAATAGTTTAGACGGAAAATATAGGGCCACCGTGGGACCACCATTAAAGTTTCACGATCACCAGCATCAACAAGGTGGCATTGGTGGTAAAAGGAGGAATTCCACCACTAGTAAATATAGCACCCTTCCCCAGATGAGTTATAATAATAATGTAGGTGGTAATAATAACGGCGTTTTTTCTGCAAGCAGAAAGTCAAAAGGAGTATCAAACTATCAACCATACAACAGCAGACAATTTCCGCAAACGGAATATCCCGGACCCAATAACTATAGAGAAAAGTTTAATAACAACTACTCCCTTCATAACACTTCGAGATTCGGGGATGACAGGTTTAGGACTCCCAATCGACTTAACACTCCCACTGCACTACCATTGACCTTTTCTAGTAATAATGCTAGCAACACCCGAAATATTAAAACTTTTATTCCAAATTCCAACAATTTCAAAGAGAACAATCAGACAACAAAACAGCATGAACAAGGGGATGATTTTGACAAATATTATGTCGATATTAGCCCTTCTCCCGAATCGGGTAAATTGACAATGTTGGCTAGTCAAAGCTCGAAAGATACACCTTCTAAATATGCCAATACCCATGTTAAGACTTTGAATGAAAATGACGATAATCGAGATATCAAAAAATGCATCGATGTTGTAAATCCTTTTGATGAAGCGATTAAATATAATAGTGATAAGATAGAGGCGCCCTCAGCGAAAGATATGACAATTGACGCCAGCAAAATGCTTCTTTTTTCAGATATAATTTCTGCTACAACTTCATCAATCAAAGACGTCAAAATTCTTGAAGCCGAAAAAATATTAAAATCTTCCAAATTAAATCCTAATGCGGTTGCATATGTTCCCAAATCACTGCCTTTTGTTGTTGAAAATAAATCATTTTCCAATAACAATGCATATGCTAACCATGATAACCAAAATAATTTTCATTCACCTATAACTCAAGGTGCACAATTTAACTCCGAAAATGTCTCCAACAATGTTAATATACCACAAAATCAAATTGTAAATGAGCCTAATTTGGATTACTCTGGGGCTTATTACTATCAGAATATGGGTGGATCCTCGTTTTTACCCGTCATGATAAACAATTCCACGAACGCTACTCCCATGAATGATTCATCTCAGTCATCTATGATGAGCTATCAAAACTATGTAAACATTCAACCGTCTTCTATCAACAACGATCCACAGCCTGGCCATAATTTCCCAATTTTTAGTCAGTCCTTTATACCAGCCGCTCAGAACGGGTCACTCGAGTCTCCTATAAATTCAAATCTGATTTCGAGACTCAATAGTAATATGGTTAATATAGCCTACCCTCATTTGATCCATTCGAACGTCCTCAACAATCAAGCCCCTTTATCTGCACGTGTTCCCCAGCAACAGCAATATTATATACTGGTTCAAAACCCTTCCTTACCTGTCAACCATGCGACTCAATCGAATAATTCTCTTCTCTTGCAAACACCCGGTGTAGCCACGGCTAAAATAATCTACGACCCTTCAAAAGGTCCTATCATGACCCCTTATCACCCTCAGCATCAATATCCCAACACACCTCCCCAGCTTGTCTTAGGCGGGGCAGGGAACCAATCTTATCCACAATCCCCCATAATTTTACAAACTACGCCTTCTTTACCTCCTTTGTCTAACAATCACAATTATAAGCAACAACATGACTCTGCTAATCCTCCCACCCTGAATCCCCATAATGTATCATGCTCCTATCTTACACCTATGGGGGTGGCTCCTCCCCAACAGCCAAAAGTTTGGATTGTTCCAGCTTATGGAGGTGCTGGTGGCATAGTTGTTCCATATCCGCAAGCTGCCGCCATGCACCATCCACAACAAAACTTTGCCGTCAATAATACAAATATACAACCGACGATACAACATAATCATCCCCAACATCAAATGGTTCACTTGCACCAACAACAAATACATCAGCAGCAACAACAAATGCTTGTCCGGCCTCCCCCACTTCCCATGCCCTCAGTCTCATTTGCAGCATTCATTCCTCCTTCCCAATATCCGCCGTTACCACCCAATTTGCATCAGCAGCTAGGGACCAATTCTTCAATTTCATCGCCTCTGGGTGTCACTCCATCCCACGTCCTTCTCAATTATAACGCTAACCAGGAACCCTTTGGGTCCCCTTTCAATAATGTGACAAATCTTAATACCACTAACGTTAGTACTGTCAACAAAGATAACAAAAATTTGCTCCCTTCTCAACACCCCTATCAGGCACTTATCATGAACAATAGCAACAGACCTATATTCGCTGGATCGGCCTCTTATCAAATCAATAACAATTATTCTGCCCCTTTACTGCCACCACCTCAGCATTTGAATTCCCCCATCAACAATGTCGTTACTTACCAACCCATCAATCAGCAGCACCCGTTTAGAAGCGTAAATGGGCAGAATAAACAGTTAAGATATGACGAAAAGAATAGTGTAATACCTCCACCCACACTAACCAAAACCAGAAGTCTAACATTTGGTGATGATAATAATTTTGTTAAATCAGGCAATTCCCCCGACAAAATTGACCATAATTCTATTATATCTTCCGTAAAAAATCTTTCGCTCAATCACGACCACAGCATCATCAATGTTAACGAAGAATACCTATCCCGGAATCAACTCACCCCCTTACTTGTTAACATTCAACACGCCGAGTCCCAAAACAATATCATATTTAACCCTAATAATTTGAAGAGTTCGGGCGATCGTTTGGATAGATTAGATTTTCATAAACAAGAAGATTCCAAAGGATCGAAATCCCCCATTTCTTCATCCCCCCATTCCCTATCCAAATCAAGTAGCCCATCTAACTTGTCTCATAATGTATCATCTCACCGTAATTACAACCCAAATCAAAATAATAAAAGATTTAACCTAAAAAATAATTATAAATACTCTTCCGCATCTAACATTTATAAAAACTCTAATCCTGAAAATAAGGGCAAAAATTTGCACCCTAATTTGTCTGCCTTGAATATTCCTCATCATCAATCCCCTAAAAATGAATAATTTAGATCCTTTTTATATTTGTTTGATACCAAATATAATTTGCATTTCTCCTTATAATTATTACTAATTTTTTAAAATTTTTATTTTATATTATGTATTTATCGAATGATATTTTTTTAATATAAATAATTTGTATTTCGTTCGATATGATGATTTTTTATATAATTTGTACATAGGAATGATGAATAAAAAAATTAATATATAATAATTTATTGAATTAACATTAGTTTTATAATGTATAGTAATAATTACAATAATTTATAAATAATATCTCTCAAGTGATAAAATTATTTAAAATAACCAGAGACTTGAAACGAAAAACTAAAACGTTTACAGTTTTAGAGGAACATGGACACGATATAAAAAAATTCCTGAATGTTATGTAGTGAATGAAATACTTTTTAAGTTCAAAAATAGTTTAACAAAATATGCTAAAAAGGATAATATTATGTTTTATTAGGAATACAAAATTCCAATATTTGCGATAAAGAATTTTATTGATTCATTTCTTAGTATTGTTTAAAAAAAACAGTATAAACTATAAAGTATAAACGGAAACTAGTTTATTAATATTTTATTCTCTAATTTAATATAACCAAAGATTATCATTTTAAGCATAAAGGATTAATTTTTCAAATATAACATTTAATTGTCTCCTATTTAATCTTAATTAAATTTATAGACGAAAATCAGCGCTAGGTAGGAGCGGAGCAGCGTCTACATGACACGATTTTCACTGGATGCAAACCCCCTTCAAAAATCTTTGCCTAGCCCCCTAAAAAATCCCCACCGCCTTCGGCGCAGATGTCTCTTTATCATTATTTTCACCTATTTATTTATTGATAAGCTTTTCAAATAATTTATAAAGGATAACTTAAATTAATCTATCTCTACTACCAACTATCAATATTTTGTGACTATAAAGAATTTATTTTTTAGATAATAAATTTAATTAAAACCTCCATTATTTACAATGAATTAATTATTATGGCATTATTAGCTTGCTGAAATATCTAAACCTTTTAAATTATATTTAAAAGGATAGTTTATTTGGAAAACAATGTGTATGATTGTTTGCAATATATAGATTTGGTCGATGAATTGTATTATAATAATACTATAATAAAAGTTTTAATTTTTACAGCAATAAACTTTGTCTTATTTCATCTCAAAATTTAATAGATAACCCCCAAAATTTTTTTATCCTACCTTACATTAAAGCAGCTTACCCCCTCATAAAAATAGGATGCAAACTGTTCCTATCCCTCCCGCTCATGTAGACGCTGGAGCGGAGGAAGGAGTAACGAATAAATATTTGATTATTAGATATTTATGTAATAAAGAACGTTAAATGTAATAATATAAGTCAAAAGTGATAATGTTTTTTAGGCACAATAAGTCGAATTATGGTCAGTCAATTAAATAATTTAGCAAATATAATTTGTAGAGTTAAAAAAATGAAGTAGTTTAGTATACCTAATAAATTTTATATTAATATTATTTAAAAGCAGATTTTAAATTTTATTATGTACGCATTTAATATTATACATTATAATGAAATTCATAGTGATGTTTTTAAATGAATAAATAACCTGTTCTTCATCAATATTAAATTTATCTACCGCGATACCATCGTCTTTCTCTGCTGAAATAAACTTTTTCAATGTTTCATAGCGATTTAGGAGAATAGAAAACAAAATTACAATTCTACGAAAAAATAAATCCTATTTCATCTTTCTATTGAATTTCTTGATTTCGGTAACCATTACAATTAGGCATTCTATTTTATACTATAAATTCATTTTTATTTTAAAAAATTATAGTATAATATAAAAAAATACAATCTATTTTTATATTAAAAAATATTTTATTTTTAATAAACCTTACGACCAAAATAGATTGACTCACAACATCAACAAAGATGGATAAATCCATTATTTTCTTCCGAAAATAAGGATCGTAATTTTAACCTAATTGTCGCCTTAGCAATCTCTATGCATATTATCATTGGTTCTTAGAGGAATCAATAAAAATCATGATGGTTCAATTACCTACTATTCTCTCAATTCATCGCAATCAGAGTTGTTAAAGTATATCTAGATACAAAAATGTGGTATCTGTATCTAGATATTTTTATAAAAAGTATATTTTAGAAGTATCTATCGATTTTTAGATATAATTTTATTTTATGTTTTTATAAAATAATATTTTAAATTTATTCAGTATTATGTCCGAGTATATTTCATTACAAAAAGAAAAACAAATCAAACAGATTTTATTTTGCACAATGGATATCGGACCGTTTTTAAAAATTGACTTAAATCCAGCCGTATAACAACACTAGTATCTAGATCCACTTTTAGACGATGTATATGTATTATCAGCGTCTACATGACAGGATTTTCACTGGATGCAAGCCCCCTCCAAAAACCTTTGCCTACCCCCCTAAAAATCCCCGCCGCCTTCGGCGGCTGTGTCTACTATTATTTTTTTTACTTTTTTAATTTATTGATACTCTTTTCAGAGAATTTATAAAGAATAACTTAAATTAATCTATCTCTACTACCAACTTTCGATATTTTGTGAATATAAAGAATTTATTTTTTAGATAATAAATACAATGAATTAATTATTATGGCATTATGAACTTGCTGAAATATCTAAACCTTTTAAATTACATTTAAAAGGATAGCAGAAAGTTTTATTTGGAAAACAATGTGTATGATTTTTGCTATATATATTTGGTCGATGAATTGTATTATAATAATTCTATGGTAAAAGTATTAATTTTTACTGAAATAAATTTTGTCCTATTTCATCTCAAATTTAATAGATAACCCCCCAAAAAATTTATCTTACCCACATTACAGCAGCCTACCACCTACCCCCCTCAAAAAATAGGATGCAAACTGTTCCTACCCCTCCCGCTCATGTAGACGCTGTGTATTAGATACATTTGAAAAGCATCTTAACAACTGATCGCAATATTTATTGTAGAATGGATATCGAAACATCTTCAAATAATAACTAGACTCATCACGATCAGTACAAACTGCAATACAATGAATCATCATCACAAGGGTTCAAATAATAAAAAAAATCGTTAACCCCTTTTTCGGATGTTAAAAATGATTTCAAGTCATCCGACGGATAAATTATTTAATTCCGATTTTCTGAATCCAACGAAAAGCATTCCTAAAATCAAATTATATCTTTACTTCACAATATATCCAAGTGTTATCCTAATAACTTTTATGGATTATTCGACCCACCACCCGGATTTATAACTATTACTCTCATTTAACTTTAACAAACACCATAATAATCAAGATAAAAGGAGTAACATACTCGAAAGATTATTTAAACATTTGTATGCAATTTATGGTCAAAATTACTCAAGTGGGAAAGTGGACAATATGACTAGTCAGGTGGACTCTTATTTTTATTATAGTCAGTTTTCGATATACCATTTCAATTTCATCCCTAACAACTATAATAACTTTAACTGGCAATACTTCGATCCATTGACTTAATATTACCCCCTTGGCTACTATTTATACTTCGAATATTTATTTGCAATATATTTCAGAGACCTGCAGAGGCACCATTTATACGGCCCGGATTATTTTTTATAAAAAGTTTTTGGGCCCAGCCCGGTTTTTTTTAAAATATATTTTATTTATTTTTGATTTTTACAGCTAATAATGGCGATTTCAATTATTTGGTTTTAAAATATACGGCCCGGCCCGGATAAAAAAATTGCCTGGCCCGGAGGCTGGGCTTAGGACCGGGCCTGCAGGTCTGATATATTTAAAGAGTTACCTTTTTGTTTTTATTATGTTAATTTTATTATTATTCCTTCATTCAGAATAAAAGATGATAACATTTTTATGATTGAATATAGTGTAAAAATTACAGATAATCATATTTTTTGCTTTCAAGCACCGGTGTTCATGGATTTAGTTAAACTCTGCAGTTCAAGAAAGGGTTATGCACTTCCCTTGAATATTTTTTTAATTTTTATAGCTATATATTGCCTACATTTTGCTTTTTATAAATATTATCTTTGATAAGCAAAATATGTGGAATGTGGTACAACCTATAAATTAAATCAGATGTCGGCATCAAGCTGGTGAAAAAACTTTGCCTATCTTACTATTTTGGGATGTGACAAATATCTTAGAAACCCTTCCATGTTCAATATTCTTAAAAAAGAAATCACCATTTTAAATAAAATTTATACAAGGAACCGAAGTCTATTTAGAATTTTGACTAAGGAAAAATTAGTTATAATTTATGAATAATTAAAAATAAAAAATATAACTCCGTTGAATAGAATAAAAAAATTTCAAAGCAAACAAAACATTCCTTTTAAGAATGAAACCAAAATATTTTCGAATATAATTATATGCATTTATTTATGAAAGTATTTTATATATTATACCAATATAAGAACATATATTTGAATTGACCATATTTGAAATTTGACAGGCTAAATATCAATCAAATTGCATATATATTTGAAATAATTCTAAATTTGATGAAATAAAATTATATTTCTACTTAAATTTTTTTTTTATTAATTGATAAATAATATAAACTATTTAAGAAAATTTTTTATAATTGGGGTAAATTTAGACAGAGCTCCGAGAAAATTTATGCACTGTTTATCATTGAATATGATCTATGTTTCCCTTTCTTCTCTAACCAATATTATCGGCCTGGGAATATATTAATTACAAGTATACCCGTAATAAAATACTAATAAAATTTCATTATCATTTTTAAAATTTAATTGAATTTTTTTTTCATAAATAAGCATTAACATAAGTTTTGATTATTATAAAATAAAATTCAAAAATTCAAAAACAACTGATAAAATAAATTAGAATAAGCGTTCGTTGGCTTATTAAAATAAATATATTAAAAATTTTTGTTGTTAAAAGTAACACAAGATAAAACATATTTACTAAATTGGATGTGAGATCTAATACATTAGTTACAGGATGCGCAGGAGCGT